GGCTACAACAACTACTTCTACGGGCAGCTGCACGTGCAGGCGGCGCCCGTGGGCCCGGCCTGCTGCGGGGCCGTGCCGCCGCTGGGCGCCCAGCAGTGCTCCTGCGTCCCGACGCCCCCAGGTAGGGTCGCGCCCGCGCCGGCCTTCTTGCCGCGGTCCTCGGTCCCTGGAGCTGGCGCTGGCTTTTTCCATTTTTTTGCACTAACTTTTCTCCTTGCACACACGAACCTTCTCCCCCCTCTCCCCCCACGCCTCTTTTTTCTTGGTCGATCCGGCACGGGGGTTTTGTACACTTGCTGCAAACTTTAGGCGAGAGCTAGAGGAAACTGTAACTTAGCGGCTGCGTGGGGAGACGAGGCTTTTGGGATTCTCTAACTGGCCCTGAGAGTGTGCGGGTGGACGCTCTAGCATGCTTCCCCCATTGCCCTGCATTTCCGATTGCCGCGCGCCCCCCATTCCCAGCGCCCCGTTGCAAAGGATTTTCTAGGGGGAGCGGGTCGCGGCGCGCGGGCGGGCGGTGTGCGCAGTGGCAGGGGAGCCGGCCGACCGTGCGTCCTCTGTCGCAGGCTACGAGGGCCCCGGCTCGGTGCTGGTGTCCCCGGTCCCGCACCAGATGCTGCCCTACATGAACGTGGGCACGCTGTCGCGCACCGAGCTGCAACTCCTCAACCAGCTGCACTGCCGGCGGAAGCGGCGGCACCGCACCATCTTCACCGACGAGCAGCTGGAAGCGCTGGAGAACCTCTTCCAGGAGACCAAGTACCCAGACGTGGGCACCCGCGAGCAGCTGGCCCGGAAGGTGCACCTCCGCGAGGAGAAAGTGGAGGTGGGCGCGCCTGCCGGGCCTTGCCGGCGAGATCGGGCCCCCGCCGGGTTAGCTCGGCTCTGCAGCCGGGCTCGGCTCGGGTCTCCCTGAACTTGACCGACATCCTGCGGCGGCCCGGAGGCTGCCGGAGGGCGCCTTAGGCCCAGGAAGTTGCAGGGAAATGCGGAAGCGGGACCGAGTCTCCCGTCCTTTTGTGGGCGTGCGTGCAGGGTCCCCGGCTTCTGAGCCCACGCCGGCGTCACCCGCGGCCGCCGAGGGCTCCCCCGGGGTGCCGGGGGTGCCGGGCCCGCCGGGGTGGGGGGAGCGCGCCTTTGATCTTAACTGTTGTTCTGTCCTCCGTTGCGCAACAGGTCTGGTTTAAAAACCGCCGCGCCAAATGGAGGCGGCAGAAGCGGTCCTCGTCGGAGGAGTCGGAAAACGCCGAGAAGTGGAACAAGACGTCGTCCAAGGCGTCGCCCGAGAAGAGGGAAGAGGAAGGTAAAAGCGATTTGGACTCGGACAGCTGACGGCCGCGGGCCGGCTGTGGCTCTTGCCTAACTCGAAGGACTTGCACAGACAGACGATGCTACTTTCTTGCACACGCGCTGCCTTGCGGGAGGGGGTCGAGAAAGAGGAACGAGGAGCTGTAAATAGTGTACAGAGCCGGGAGGGCCGGCGCCTGGGGTCGGGGTCGCGCCGGGGCTTACAGCCCCGAAGTCCGAGGCGGCCGGCGCCTCGCTCCCCGCCGTAGTATTTATAGTTAAGTTAACGGTGACAATACAATAAAGTGATGGCGATGTAGACGGGCCACATTCTGTATTTCCTACCAACCTCCCCCACCCCCATCTGAGGCCCCATAAAGAAATCTACTTAGTCTTGTAGCTTCGAAAGAAAAATCGGGCAGCTCTGATCTGTCCCGGAAAAAAGGAAGAGGAAAAGAAACTCTGGGCATGAATCGTCACAGGACGGGTGTCCTGCTTTAAAATCCACTTCGTCTCCAGGGCTGCAGGGAGAGGGGGAGAGGGGCTTTGCCGGGCTGCCGGGGGTGGGTAGCATTGCCCAAGAGAGGGGACAGCATGGGGTTCCTGTTCCCCCTTGCCCTGGGGAGAACCAGGACTTTTTTCCTCCTTGCCCGCGGCTGGGAAGCAGTAGCGGAAAAGCAGGATCCACCACGGAGCTGGGCGATCTTGGGAGCCTCTCCAGAACTGGCTCAGCCATCCCTGTTCCCACGAAATCCCCAGATCTAAGGCTGGGACTCCTAGGGGGGAATTAGGTGGTGGGCATGCCTCTCTCCCAATACTTTTTTGGATCTTTCGTGGCTGCTCTGGGCTGCCCTACTGTTCCACAACCCTGCTGGGAGCAGCGCCTGTCCTGCCTGGAGGCTCTTAAGCTGCGGCCGGGGGTCCCACTAGGGATCTCCGCCGGCGCTGGGCCCATGGTGCTTTAGCTGAGACATTTGGGGTGGCCAGATCTGCGCCCTGAGTTCTGTCGGCCAATCGGGTATTAGAGCGTCGGGTGGCCTCCGAGGCACCTTGAGGTGGGAGTGCTGATGCCCTTGGCTTTCTACCCACCCCCACCCCCCCATCTCCCCTGTGCACTAGATGGGGCGGGAGGAGGCGCACGGCTGGAGCGCAGCTGGTTGGCTCGTCAGAAGCTTGAGAAGCTTCCCAGTGCTGGTAACGACTGAGCTGAGCGCTTGGGACAGGGATGAAGACAAGGGCATGCATATTGTTTGGTTTCCTGGACCACTGGCCAGGGGTTGGGGTGGGTGGAGACCAAAGGCCAACAGGAACGGTTTTAATGCTTCAACTTTATTGATTTTAAAATAAATCTATTTTATAGATAAGGAAGCTAAGGCTCAGAGAGCTGCCCAGGGTGGCGGATGTGTGTGCTCCCCAGGGAGCAATGAGCTGCTCTACCTTTTCGGCTGCCTGGGGTATTTGGTGTAAGGACCCTCCAGGGGAGGTCTGTGCATCCCGCCTGTGGAACACAGCACATGCAGAAAGGAGAGCTTTTTACAAGAGGTGGTATTTTTTCCCCCCACAGCGTTTTCATGTTTAAAAGGTAAAAGCGACTCCTGGAGTGGGTAAAGGGACATTTAAGAAATATGGAGTGACTCCCAGTTACCACCTTTTTAATAAGGAGTATCCCCCAGATGGAAGCAGGAGACAGCTGTTTGGAGGCCAGGTGCCTAGAGGGTCAAGGTCACCTTGGCTCATGCGTGACCTTGAGCAAATTTCTGAACCCATTGGCTTTGCACCTCCTGGGACTGTAAAATGGGCACAACCGTAATACCTCCTTCCCAGGGCTGCCATGGACAGGAAAGGCACGGAACTCCTATAGAATAGCAGCTGGTATGGGGGGAATCCTTCAACATGGCTACATATTTTTTTTTTTTAAATATTATGATTTATATTGTATCAGACCCAGCACTTCGAGATTTATGTCCATTCTCATTTTACCTTTCAAGAAACTCTGAAATGGGGGAGTTGCCGCCATTTTTACAGATGAGAAAATCAAGGTTTCAGAAAAGTTAAATCTTTTAAGAGCGTTCAGCTTTAGAAAATAATCATCTTTGGGCATCTTTGCCCAAGGAAGTCTTACACCATAATTGGGAATGTTTCCACTAATACCAGTTCTGGTGAGAAATAGTTCGAGGCCGTTACACTAATTTCTAATGAATCTTGCAATGGCTATTACATCTCTTCCTTAGACCTCAAACTTCCATGGTGAGAAAGCCTTGCCTGCCTTACGCCCCCCTTCCTCCATTGCTGTTCCTAGGTGCTGTCCTCTGTCCCACTGGAGAGGGGTGAGCCTTCAGGGGGCAGCCAGGAAGAGCTCTGACTTCTATCCTCCCTCCACTCTAGAACATTCTAACATAGGACATAAGTGGGCAGCATCATTCCACCCTGAGACATCTGATGTTCCAGAACTCTGTTATAAACTCCTGTGTCTCTCTGTCCATGACTTGCCCTTGGACTCCCTATAAACAGGGATCTTCCATTTTAAAAAATGATCTGCATTTGTCTGATCTGGAGAGGTGTCCAATCAGGTGGCAGGGGGAGCGGGATTGCAGGAGGAGGAGTAGGTTCTCAGACATTCTTCCCCCAGGAGCACCTGGTGAAAAGCCAGGACAAATGGGGTATGCAAGGGGGGGAGGGGGAAGAGCCAGGGGTCTCCTCCCAGCTTGGCCCCAGGCAGATGCAAGCTGGCAAGACGAAGGTCCTTCCCTATCCTTCCCACTGTGCATGAGCCTAGGCCCAGCTCACTGGAAACAAACATAATAAACATCTGGAACGAAGAGGGAAATGTCGGGATGGTCTAATTATATATAGTTAACCCACCTTTTGCATTCCGCAGTCAGCTGTGGGGCTCAGACTTTTGTCTTAGCCTGGCCACTGGAGTCAGGGAGGGACAGATAGTGTCATGGAGCAGAAGGCACTTGGCCTTTAAGAGCTGTCTTCAGGCTTTGTCATTGTCTTTGAGAATTTGGATCGCAGCGTTGGAAAGTGGTGTGTATGCATGTTGAAAGGGTCAAGGCATAAGGCAAGCGACCGCCTGGAAGGCCTGTAGCCTATACAACACCTTGCCCCCCAAATGAAGGTGTTCTCCCCATTGGACAGTCGAGCAAACTGAGGCACAAAGTTAACACAAGGGGCCAAAACGAGAATTGTCATCTTCAAGGGACACAAGGCTCTTAAAATTTCCATAAATCAGGCTGCCTCATGGAACTGAGAGCGTTCTTCCCGGTGGTGATGCGGTGATGCAGCTGTGTATAAAGTTCCCCGACAGCAAGTGATCGCAGGAGTGAATGCTCTTGCCCCTGGGGGACATAGGAATTAATGTGCCCAAAAGTGCCAGCAAGATTCTGGCAAAGAAGAATAACGACAATTAGAGCCCCTCACAGGAGTCTTAGCGCTTTCCACCACAAAGCCCTTCCACGTACATCTCTGGCCCTCTGGAGGGGAGAATGGCAGCCCATTTTGCAGATGGGAAGTAGAGACTCAGACAAACTAAACTGCCTTGCCCGGAATGCATAGTAAATGGCACAGCAGGTCTTGGAAACCCCAGACCTGAGCAGACTCTCCCACACGCGTCTTGGGGTGGTAGCAAGGTATGAGGTAATGGCTTCCAGCTGCCACAGGTCACCTGGGCCAAGGAGGGCCCTGGCTGCAGGCAGCTGACAAGGACGGAGAATGGAGGGTGTGGGGGAAGAGCCGGGATTCTCGGGTTCTGGATATTGCTGCGTAGCGGGTATGTTCTCATCATTGTTGCGGTGAGCTGTGCGTGTGTGAGGTGGGCCACGGGCCTGCAAACAATTGCTTTCTAAACCATACTCCTGGGGTGTATGTTTCAATGACAGTTCTTGAATCCAGTTCCCTTTTACAGACTTTTGAACTTGAGCTCATGTCTTAAGCCTCGTATGAAGGACGATATTTTAATGGGTATGTGTGAGATCGAAGCTGGTCGATTCCTCTTTCATTTCTTTGTGTGTGTATGTGTGCGGGG